ACAAAGCGATCCATGACACTTTTCTCAACATGTACATGCACTGCAGCAAGAAGGCTAATCCTCAGAGTGTGAAACCTCCTGAGTGACTGTCTCAAAGCCTAAGTTCCATAACCCACTGGATGTTTTGACATTTTAATACTAGATACAGGCGTTTGACTAACTCCTTAAATATTCTGAATTATTTTTTCATTTCACAAATTTAATGAAGTCTACCATCACTAATAACAAGGCTATTGACTACAAGAATGTTGACTGTATTATTACTTATTATAGTCAACATTCTTAAGGAAACAAATTGCTCAAAAATAGGTTAAATAAATTGTAGTTGCATCAAAGATTATTTGAAAGGTGTAATAACATGGAAATATGTTCATTATATACTGTTGAGTGGAAAATATCTGGTTACCAAATATGTAGTTTGATCTCATTTTTAAAGAATAAAAATATGTATGTTTGAATATATGCATGTATGTGCATGTGTTGTATTTTATATAATATACACACATACCTTTACACACATATGTATACAGACATATAGCAGCATGGTAGAGCAATAGAGACACAGAGAAAATTAGAGGAGAAAAGAGAGTGAACTGTACCTCTACATTATTGACTCTCAGCTTAATTTCATGTATGGAGGAAAATGAACTAGAAAATAAAAACTGGAAGAAAACAAAATAACTATGATTGTCATTGGGAAAAGACAATGTGGGTAATTTTTGCTATTTGCATTTTCTAGTTATTAAGAATTATATACTTACATTACCTTTGTAATTTGTGTAGTGTTTTAAGTAAAAAAGTTTTATATCCAAATTTTCAGTGATTTTTAATAAGATATATCAACAAAATATGATTATTTCACCTTTAGCCCACAAATATAACTCATGCCATATTTTCTATCATTATGAAATACATTTGGGCACAGTCAATAAATAATATCACCCAATAAAATAAATATTGTATGGTTCACTTTAATTAAACATTACATGAAAATATGCTACTAAAAAGCAGACATTAAACATATCTCCTAAAATAATTCTTAAAACATCCTAAATCCAATACCAAGGATTTAGTTGACCCAAGTTAACATTATACAACTATATGTAACACATGTTTCAAAATAACCACATGAAATTTTAAAGTAAAAAGAATTCAGAGAAGTCTTCAGTTAAATATTACATAGTATTCATTATTTCTGTCAGCCAATGTACCTAGGAAGCAGGATAATTGATAGTATCTTTGCTTTGTGTAGAATGGAGGCATATGGGTTTAAATACTTTTTAATAGAGCACTATTGAAAGCAGAGTCAAAATTAAATCAGGAAAATGTGTTCTCTGTATTAGTTTATTCTTGCGAGCTATTTTGACAAACATCAATTTCTCCTATTTTGTAAAATTCTTTTTCTCTACTGTATCTTAGCCCATGAATCAGGATTTTAAAAATGTCAGTATTTCCCCACATTTTCAGTGACAGTGTAGGTGCACAAACAGCTCTGATCTGGTGGATAGTTATGCAGAAGGCCGTGAAAGAGCAAGGGCACATCTGAGACGATAAAAATCAATGACATTAATAATAACCACAGTTACAAGAGTTAGTGCAAAACTTTTATCAGATTATCAAAATTGTGGAATGGTGGACAGTCTACAGCTGGGAAACCTGATACCTGAGTTGTCACTCTAGATTTCTTATAGTCATTTGTGTGAGCCTGAGCAAGTCAGAGGCTTTGGAAATCAGTTTCTTCAATTTAGAAATAAGTCTGGGCCAGGCTTATTAAAATTCCTTTCAGATTCATAGTTATATCACTCTAAGGTACATATACCTTTGGACACCTAACTACTATCAGGTACTGCTTTGGCAACATGAAAAATATCAGTTTCAATACTATATAAAACAATAAATGAACTACAAACACTTTCAAAATGTGGTACAATACAAACCACTGGAATATTGTTATCCCTGAACAGTTCTTATTTTCTTACATTAAGAAAATTTTAACCTCCTACTGATCTAAAATGCCATATTGTTTCTTTTTATTTATGTCACTAATTTTCTTGGTTATTATGAAACTTCATTTCTGAACAAAATTTTATTTTTTAGTATTATTATTTAAATTTCTAGGGAAATTATTCTCAGTAATGTTTTAAAATATTCATTAAATTCCTATTTACTTTAAGTGTCAGCATTATTTAAGTGCTCAATACAGTTTACACAACTAGAAGTTTAATCTGAAAATCTATAGGCTTTTAGTGTCTTTAATTTGAATTAACATTCTCTCATAATAAAAACTTAATGAAAGTTAATGATATTGGTATCTGATAATTTCTAAAGAAATATGGGGAAAGCATACACTTTAAATAGACAAATATATTCAGGAGAATATTACCTGGCTTGATTCTCCCCTTTGGATCTCAGAAAGTAAATAGCACTGTATTTTCATCCAGCTCTGAGAACTCAGCTTTATTTCTGCTATAGGCAAAGAGGTGATTTCATTCAACTAGACAATTCAATCAGCACAGCTTGCTGTAAACAGGAAATAATATATTATTTAGCGTAGCAAGACGAAAATCCCATTTGAGGGAAATGACTTGTTGGGTCTTTGCAAACGCCTCAATTTCCCTTTTCATTGACCTCACAAGCAATGCTAAGGAATCAGTATTTAGATTTCTTTTTAGAAGGTCCCAAACGCAGGTCATCTCTATATTCTCTTTTGAGTGCTACAACCTAGGCTGGTGAGGAAAGCAGAGATTTCTTCTTATATGCCAACCAAATGAAATGTTAACTCATCATTATCAGCCTCATCCATGTTAACCTTCTCACAAACATGAGGTGGGGAAACAAACGGCTCAAGGTAGGAAGTAAGTGAAAACAATGAACATTTATTAAGCCTTTTCTTATGTGCCATATTCTTTATGTTAATTAACTAACTTCAATTCTCACCACTCAGAGGTGATAATAGTTAATCCACTATGCATGATAAATTAGAAGAAAATGTTCAGAATGCTTAAGCCAATATTTAATGTGAAATCTATGACACACACTTAAGATCTCACATTCATAAAAGTAGCTGTACATTTTTCTATTTTTCCTTTTACTTCCCTGGAATTTGCAAATATCTTTTAAGCCCTGAATAGAATTCAATACAATAAATACTTAATCTTTACTGTTTGGTACTGTGGGGGGACACACAAATGAACTAAGGGAGGCCCTAAATCCCATACTGATACTGCTGGTAATTAGTTCAATTTCATGACAGATTCTCCTAGTTCCAGTAGTATAAAAAGGCTTCCAGTTTTATTTATGAAATTTTTAAATTTATCTGTAGCACTGATGTGATCTTACAAAGTGATCCATGACACCTTTCTTACCTTGCACATCCACTGCAGCAAGAAGGCTAATCCTCAGAGTGTGAAACCTCCCGAGTAACTGTCTGAAAGCCTAAGTTCCATAACCCGCTGGGTGCTCTGACATTCTAATACTAGACACGGGCATTTGACTAACTCCATAAATACTATGAATTATTTTTTTCATTTTGAAGATCTAATGAGGTTAACTGTTTCTAATAACCAACAGCTATTTCTTAAAGGAAAGATAATCTCTGGATAACAATACATGATTTTAGGATCTGAGAAGTAAAATGTGTTTTTAAGGTTGATATAATACAGAGGTCTTGACAGAATTTACAGTTCTCTGAGGTCACATGAGCGCATGAAGATGAGCATCTGAATTCTAGAGGTAGAGAGACTTCATTAGCTCTAATCCCAGCTCAGTCACATGCTAAATGTGTGGCAAGTTCTTTGATTTCTCTGAGTCTCAGTATTTTTATCTGCAAAATGAAGCTAATAACACGTACTCTGAATAGTTGTTGTAAAGATAAAAAATAATATTTGTAAAGATCTAGTAGAGAGGATACAACAGGTACTTCATAAATAGTAACTTTTTTCTCATCTATCATTGCATTGCATCATTGGCTGCAGTAGCATTTCAACTCTGAGAGTATATATATTTGGTCTGTGATAAACTAGTTGACCAGTTCAAGTATGAGTCCGATTAATGAAGATATGCAGAGATCAAATAAACAGATTCTTTGGACATTTTCTACAAATTACCTTCCCATACAGCTGTCTTCTAAATATAAGGTAGATGACTCTGGATTAGCTAAGAGGGCAAAAATTGCCGTTATCATCTTTATGGCTTTAGTTTGGAAAATAAAAATAGTGATAATGACCTTGGACTCTTGTGGAATTTCCATAAGTATTGTATATAATTACCATGAAATGGACATCTTTTGATATCAATGAAATAGTAAAGTGAGATAGAATTTAGGAAGACACATTTCAGAGGTCTGCTCATTATAAAGCGCCTATGACTGTCACTTAAACAAAAACAGATAAAGTATACTCATATTAAAACATATGGCAACATTCTTAAATAAAATGCCTCAGTGATTGCATGATTCTACTGAACTACTGCCTCAGTTGACCAAAAGTCTAACTTGCACAGTGCAAATGCAACTACTTTGAGCTAAAGATTAGTTTTAGAAGAAATAATACTTGCATACTCCCCAGTGACCATTCATTTTAAAACCCGAATCTAGAGGTGCAATCATTCGCAAAATCAATTATTTCTATGATTATGGTACCTAGATGGTTTTCTTTTTATATTGGAGAGTAAACATACTAATAACATGCACAGGTTAGGGAAAGTGATCATGGATCATCAGACTATACAAATGATCAGGACATGATAAAGGGTTATGTATTTCAATGGTAAAAGCAATCTGATTATTAGCTCTTCATTTGAAGCAGTTTATCTACAGTTCAGAAATGCTTTCAATGCTTTCACTGATTAAACTGTAAAGCATCTTTTTCATTGTCAGCAGAAGTGACCGGCATTTAATTAAAATAGACTCTTCTAACTATAAATAATTGAATTAATAGTTTTAAATTTAGTTTGGCTAAAATTGGTGAATTGATAACTAAATAATGCAAGAATAAGAATTATCAAAACACTTTTGAGAACACAGTTCTGCTTGGAGGGCTCCATGGAGGAAGTGCCTCATTTTCAAGAAAGGAATGATGTTTCTTTTGTTTCCGTTCAATTCTTTCCTTCCTTTCTTTTTGTTCCTAAAGAGAAAATAGAAAACTATTTATATATAAATTTATATACAAATATGACCATTATTTTCAAATCAAGTTTCTTGCTGAAGAACAAAATAATCATTATAAGGTATTTAAATGTCATTTGCTAGCTTAATTGGTTATAAAGTAATAACAGCTAGGGAATATTGCTAATTTATGAGCATACTATCAATAGGCGTTAATGCACCACTTAATTTTTTAAATATTAAAAGTGATAATATTTAAAAAGAATTATGTAAAATAGGAAAAAAAGACCTGTAATCCCATAATTCAAAGAGAATAATTATTAGAAGTTAGTGATGACTTTCTGAGAACAGAGTCTCAGAAATAAATTTACTAGGTGCGAAGGTTGAATACGTGATGGCAGCAGAGGATACTTCACAGTGCTTAAAAATATTTGAATATTGAGGTTCATGTTTCTTTGCTTGTTATTGAGCTTGAGTACACTTTCATTTCTTTAGTGCTTTTGTGAAGTTTTTGCTCTGTTATTTGGTTCTTCTAACTGTATGGTTATTGGTGCTTGAAATTTTTAGCAATTTACATTTTCATATAATAAATATTATCCTTGCAGCATTTTATCTACATTATTTTTAGTCCTTAATTTTTTACCAAAAAATTAATAGTTCAACCATAGACAACTAAACTGTTTAAAGAGTAATATAGTCAAAATTTGTGTAACCACTACCTGCCTTTTGAAATAAAACAAGACCAATACTTGTGCAGCTCTTGTACCCACTCCCTCACCACACCTGCTTTCTCTCCACCATCCAGAGATAACCATTACTGAATTTAGTGCTTATAGTTGCAGTGCATCCCTTAATACCTTTATCACACACACGTATTCATCCCCAAACAACAAATAATTTTGTTTTGCAGGTTTTTTGAGTTTTGCAGGTTTTTTGAGTTTATGCTAAAAGGTACCATGCTATATATTTTTTTGCATCTGTCTTTTATTTATGACCATATTTCTAAGATCCATCTACATGGAGCTGTAGCTCTAGTTCATTGATGCACAGAATTCCAGTATATCAACATATCACAGTTTACTAATATATTTTGGTGTTGAAGACATGATGTTCTAATGTTTTTTCCACACAAAGACAATGCTGCTGTAAATAACCCTGTTTGATTCCTTGTGCTTATAAGCCAAGATTTTCTCTCCAAGTATATGCCTAGGAGTGAAACTGCCAATTTGTAGGGTATGAATATGTTCGACTTTGCTGGACAATAATGATTTATTCTCCAAAGTTGTAGGAAATTACCCTCCAGCCAGCAAATATACTGATTTTTTATTTTGTATTATTAATATGCTGTATTCTATTGTTTGGCATTTTATATTTAATGTTTAAATCTTCTGAAGTTTGTATTGCAGTAAAGTAATTGTTTGAAGTGATTTTATGTCCAAATGTCACAAATAATTCCAATTGTTATTGCCTCACATCCATTAATTTGTGTTCCTTTATTATATAATACATCCTTACAGGTAACAGGTTCTGAGGCTATTATTCTACTTGTACTATACTATAATTTGTGCTCATTCATTCAATGTTAAGCATTGAGATCTTACTCTGGGTCAAGCAGTATACAGGCAGCCATGCATGAAGTGATTATAAAATACAAACACACAGGTTACTGTTCCTGTCCCTTAGGGAACTTTCAAAATAGATGGTTAATAAACAAGTACATAAACAACAGATAATTCCAAATTGTGTGAAATTCTATGAAACATATAAATAAGCTGTTGTGATTGATAAAAAATGAAAGGAAGTACTTACTTTCAAAGAAAAGTAGATTCAGGGAAAGTCACTTTGAGACGTGATGGGTAAGAGGAGCCACTGGTGATGTGCACTGAGGGGAGGGCACCCCACGCAGACAGAAGAGTGTGTGTGAGGACTCTGACAAGTGGGGAAAACTTGGGATGGGAGAGGAAGCCAGAGAGCCAGTGTGAATAAAGCCTGGCGGGAGATGGGAGCAGGGTCCAGATGAGAACGACAAGGTATACGTGTAAGATCAGACGGGGCCTGGCAGGCCATAACATTTAGAACACAGATTTGAAAAAAAAAAAAAAAAGAGCTGTCAACAGGTGATTTGGAGAAGAAAGGCAGAATGCTGAGAGTTAAACCAGGGAACATGGCAGCAGAGGAGGAGACAGCTCAAGTGGAAGGGGAAATCGACTGTGCAGAATGCCCAGAGGTCTAGGAAACAGGGCAGAAAAGAATACATACCATAGTCTAGATGCTCAGGCAAAATCATAACTCTCAAAGTTTAGCTTAGTTTAGTTTCAGAAAAGGGATAAGATGGGGGTTTACTGAGGATGAAAAGGATATGAAGAACTAAGGAAGTGTAAACAAAATTTCCAGAAGTTTAGCTACTAAAAAAGATGAGGATCATGGCTGGAGGGAAATGAAGAATTAAGAGAGTTTATTTTTATTAAGATTACTTATCCTGAGACTTGATGGGAATAATCCAGGAGGGTAGAAGAATGCAGATTCACAGGAGAGTGAAATGGTAAATTCATATTTCATTGCTTGATTGGTACAGTCCTGCTTCATATTATTTTGAAAATATTATCTTCCATCATCTCACATTTTTATTATACCAGGTGAATTTTAGAATTTCGTTTCCCTGCTATACTCCCTTCCAAGAAATGATTGAGTATCTGAGGATTAATATCAAATCTAAACAATGATCTAGGAATACTTGAAATGTTAATAGCATTTGGCCTTTCATCCTGCAGCTTGGACTGTCTCTCCATTTCTTCAAGTTTCTGCTAAAACTATAAAGTTTAGTGGTTTCCTTGTATTCCAAAGAGCAGTGGTGTCACGGAACACTTGGACAACCCTGCCTCTGCAGGCTGAATGGCTTGGGAGGAGTGGTATTTTGGTAAATTATTAGGTGTCTATGCTTCTTTCATCAGTACGTAAATGGAATTGATAATGTCACAAGAAGAATATGGTAATGTAAGGTTCCATTAACATGCAATTATTCACATACAACAAAAGGATTGAAGAGAGGTGTGAAATTTTCTTTTTGTCTTAACATTTTGCTCTTCGTCATGAGAATGTTATCATCCTTGTTATTTCTAATAAACAGAGAACCTCCTTTCAGAATCCTAACTGAGAAAATAAAAGCTGTAATTGGACCACGGTCAATCATCTTATTACTTTCGAGAGAGGGAGGCCCTCTAGCTAGGTGAGAGAAAAGCAGTGACCATGCTGTGTCCTCAGAAACTGACTGAAAAAAACTCACTGTCCATTCCATTTAACATAGGGGGAGAGAGGAACTGGAAGCAACCTTGAGTTTGCTGGCAGGTGCTAAAAAGTCAGGGCAGAAAATAGGCAATTAATTATCAACCTTAATATCAATTTACATGAATCAATATTATCTTGACTAATAATTAAAAGAGGTTTCTTAAAACGTCCTTCTGTCTGTTGTTTGTTGGGGTCTGAATCTTTTGCTTATTTTCTTACTAAAGGTAACTATCAATTAATCTGGGAACCAGCTTGAAGAAGCATCTTACCTGATCTTTGGCTACAATTTTCACTTAAAACAGTGACCCATCAATTGCTCACTCCCCAAACTAGGTTGTACATCAAAATTTTGAGATGTTACTTTACATGAAAATTGAATTAATTAGCTCTTCTGTATAGGGGAATTTTTCCATTCTCTCTGCAAACAAATTTCAATAAGAAATTGGTAAGATGGGGAATAGAGCTGTAACATGTTGTACATGTATTTTTTTTAGGTAGAGCTGTATTGTAGGGATATATTGTATACCAAAACAAGTTATTTTGTCTTAGGTCTTTGATGAGCTTTTATTTTCCAGAGGATTGATTAGAATGAGAAAGTGACTAACCACTGTAATAAAACATTGTGTACCTAACTATGACTTAGTCACTAAGGAAATTCTATCTCATTTTCAAGACAATGTGAAAATAAAACTGAAAACTGAAACATTTACATTCAGTTACTACTCTAAAAGATACTAACAGAATTAGCATATGTCTCCTTAATATAAGAAGATTTTTAATTTTTCTTAGAACAAAGCATTATTTAAGAGTTTAATCTAAGGAAATCATCATAGAACACTACTATCCTCATTCAAACGACTGAACCAATTTTGATCGCCTTATTACTGTTTCTCTGCATGTATTTAGCATTATAGCAGTACTAAAGTCAACACAAACAACAATATATTCTGTTGGTATTTTTATTAGGATTGCGTTAAATTTGTAAATTACTTCAGGGAAAACTGACATCTTTATAGCATCACTATAAGATTGTTTCTATACAAGGACAGTTTTGTTCTAATTTCTCAGGTATTCATTTGTGTCCTTCAGAAGTTTTCTCTATATTGGTATTGCACATTTCCTAAGTTTATTCCTAAGTGTTACATCTTTTTATCCTATCTTTAAATAGCCTGCTTTGGGTCCTGTGTGTGTCTCTAGCTACTACTGATTCTAAAATTTATGTGGAAAAAAAAACCCCAAGAATATTCAGAAATACTTTGAATGAAGAGTTATGAAGGGAGATTAACCCAAACATATATGAAAATATATAAAGTCCTGATGATGAAACAGTGTTGTACTGGAATATGTACAGTGAGATTGACCAATGGAACAGAAAGTTAAGAAATAAACAGACCTGAAAATATGGGAATGATCTAATGTATCATATAATAAAGGCAGTACCTCAAATCAGTGGGTAAAAGATGTACTGTTTTATGAAAGATGCATTTGGAAAAAATAAAGATGGAATCATATTTCCCATCATACACTAGGATAAATTCTAAGTGGAGCAAATGTTAAAATGTTAAATATAAAATCATAAAGTTATTAGAAGAAAAATGGGAGCTTTGACCCTAAGTTTTGGAGAAAGTCCTTTCAACTACACCTGAAAACCAGAAGCCATAAAAAAAGACTGATAGATTTGACACCTGAAAATAAAATAAAATTCTTCATGAAATAAAATGATATAAGACTTCCCTGGTGGCACAGTGGTTAAGAATCCACCTGCCAATGCAGAGGACACGGGTTTGAGCCCTGGTCCAGGAAGATCCCACATGCTGCAGAGCAACTAAGCCCATGTGCCACAACTACTGAGCCTGTTCTCTAGAACCCGTGAGCCAGAACTACTGAGCCCGTGTGCCACAACTACTAAAGCCCATGCACCCTAGAGCCCATGCTTCACAACAAGAGAAGCCACTGCTATAAGAAGCCCACACATCACAATGAAGAGTAGCCCCTGCTTGCCGCAACCAGAGAAAGCCTGTGTGCACAGGCAAAGACCCAATACAGCCAAAAATAAATAATAAATAAATAAATTTACTAAAATAATGATATAAGCAAAGTTGAGAGATCAATAATACAATGGGAAAAAATTTGTAACTCATATCAGAAATGGTAGGCTAATTTCCCTAGTACATAAAAAAGCTTCTAGAAATCAGTAAGAAAAAGACCAACAAAAAAATGTTCAGTTTATGAATTGACACTTTACAGGAAAAATAATATAAATTATCTTCACACAAATGAAAGGATACTCAAGCTCAATCCTAACCAGAGAAATGCAAATTAAAAAATACTCTGGATGATATTTTTTTAACTTGCTGATAGACATGAATTCAAAAAAGTTTGATAAGAAACCCTACTGTACCCTAAGCCCTGTGGAGAAATTTTGCACTTTTTGATTGCTGAACATGTGAATGTGTTAACTATTCACATAAAGTAGTTATGCATATGAAATGTATTACTTATTTACTTATTCAAAAATAAATGAATAAAATATATATTTATATTGATATTTTAAAACAGAAAACAGTATTTTGCTTGCCATCACTGAAAAGTAACTATAAACATAAGTACATTGAAACAAAGAATATAAAGTCCTGCTAGATATCATTTCTCCCAACGTTCATACTTGATTGCTTTCATTAAAAAAACACTTATATAAGACCTTCTCCTTGAGGTCATCAAAAAGATCAAAAGAAAATAAAAAATGGAATAACTTTCTCATTAAATACAATTTTACTGTGTGTCAGGACCAAGTTCCACCTAAATTAACCTGGTATACCTTCAGTAATACACTTGTCAGTACACTTTTTTATAATTTTAGGTAGGAGAATCATTGCAAAGGACGAATGGGCATGACTGGTAAGTGACTAAATGTGGGGATGTAGGTAAGGAACATTATTATGACTAAAGTTTTAAGCCTGAGTGTTTTAAGGAATAGTAGAATCATTAATAGAAATGAGTAGATCAAATAAATTATGATATATGTAGGACAGAATGAATTCAACAAGGTAGCTTCCAGGTAGAAATGGTCAGTAGGCATGGGACAAATAGAACTGGAATTAGGGACAGAAAAGTCAGAACAAGTACATTTAAAAGACACAGTGCATTAATGAATAACACCTACCAGCCATTTTTCATATTCATCAAGAGCTTGTTTATCTTTATCTTTTCTCTCAGCTCTTTTCAGTTCTTCTTTTCTTTTCTCATTTATTTTCTCTTTTTCCTTTTCCTTGAAAACAGCTTCCTTTTTTTCATTCCTATGTAGGATAGTCAAAACACTGGCAAGTTAAAGGAGAATATATAATAAAGATTCCCTAATGTGTCTTTGCAATAATGAGACTGAGTGCATTAGTAACATTCAAGTAAATGAATTTTAGAAAAGCCTAAAGTGTTACTAATTTAAGATCTATCAAAACATTTATTATTTTGGATTACCATTTTTCAATAGCAGTTATGTTATCTTTCCTTTTCTCAGCAACAGTTTCCTCCTCTTTCTGTTTCTTTGCTCTTTCATAGTCTTTCTCTTTTTTACTTTTCTCTTTAAGATATTCCATCTTTTTCTCTTTCCATTTTTCAAAAGACTGAAAAAGTTCAGAGTTACTTTCTTATTTAATGTGAATATAATAAAATAGTAAAACCACAGTTAATCATTAATTTTCAAATATTTTAAAAATAATTAAGATATTCAAAACCATTGCATACTTGCAGTGCTTCTCTTTTTCTCACAGCATTTTCTTCTTCAGTTTTCTTCTTGGTTTTTTCCTCAAGCCTTTTTCTTGCAGCTACCTTCTTTGCTTCCTTTTCTTTCATGGCTTTCCAGGCCTCAAATGAAGCTAAGGCTTCTTCTCTCTTAGCAGCTCTTTTCTATTTTGGAAAAATAATAGACAGTAATATGTATATGTATAAATAGACAAATTTAGATAGATATACATACATTCATTTTTTAAAATTCCCTTCATATTCATCAAATTAGGTTTCAAAGCAATCTATTTAAAATAGATTTAGAGAAGTTAATTGATAAAGAATGTTATCTGAATTATTCACTGCATTTTAAAATGTCCTTTCTTAAACATTTATCAGATATTGATCTACTACCATGTATGGGAAGGAATTTTTTTTGGAAGTATACTGAACAAATGCTATGAAAATAAACTGTAAAAGGCTAATGTGGTACTGCAAAGTGCTCATAATGCAATATTGCACTAAAAGAAAAATATCAGGAAAGTTACAGGCCAGAAAGGTAAAGTATATAACTTTCCTGATATTTTAACTTTAACTTTACCTTTCTGGCCTGTCAGAGTAAGGTAAATTGGTCAAGTCACACAGTAAACTACAGATCTGTGCTTTAACCCTGAGTTTTGACTGACATCAGAGCATAAAATTCTTACTGCATAAACATATCCCAAGTGTTGAAAACATGTGCCAGATTAGAAAATATGTAGGTGAACATATAGCAAGTATGTTATTACTTTACTTACTTCAATCTAATCCCATAATATTCTGTTTGCCTTATAATATTGCTTAGCATTAAATGATATAAAGCTTTATTACAGAGATAACATAATTTAGAAGTAAAAGTATGAGCTCCCTCACTGAGTTGTGAAGAGCAAATGAGGTGTCTGGCGCTGACTGTGGCAGGTAATGCTGCAAAGGCAGTGCCAGTGTCCAGGCACGTCCCCTGCAGGGCTGCTCCACACAGTGCTGTGTGCTGGGGAAATATGTTTCTATCCATGGTAGTATTAAAAGCACAATGGGGGCTTCCCTGGTGGCGCAGTGGTTGAGAGTCCGCCTGCCGATGCAGGGGACGAGGGTTCATGCCACGGTTCGGGAAGATCCCACATGCCGTGGAGCGGCTGGGCCCGTGAGCCATGGCCGCTGAGCCTGCGCGTCCGGAGCCTGTGCTCCGCAACGGGAGAGACCACAACAGTGAGAGGCCCGCATACCGCAAAAAAAAAAAAAGCACAATGAAGGGTTGTTTTTTTTTCTTTTGTTTTTTTTCAGGGATTTTACTTTAGAAGATGGGAAAGAACTGGAACATGTTGTAGGAAGGAGTTAGAGGCAGAAGGTGAAGTACAGGAGAGACTGAAATGAGAGCCCAGCTCCAGTCAGTGGGAAGGATAGGGGCAAATACTCAGGTAGAGGCTGGTCTTGAAGATACATACAAAACTCAAAGTAGAAAAGGGGAAAACTGAAGGTTAATGTCTGATGACCCTTTATATTCCTGGCTAAGTTGTAATATCAAAGTCAATTTTTAATAATGAAATAGGTACATGGTCACAAGAAAAAATAAGTTCATAATCAGTAGTGTCAAAGCTATTGCTCACATATAAATAATAAAAATCTCTGTGTATCCATGTTTTCATGTAAAACAGTTATATTTATATCAAACTAAAAATGTATAAAGTACCAGAGAAATAAAATCAGAAATCAATTCTTTTATATACAATTTATTTCACCATTTAAAAAACAGTTGATTTAAAAATATTAAACATTCAGACTATTTTACTGACTTAAAAATCCAGAATATTTTTTACTTCTATATTCAGAATACCTGTTCATTTTGAATCCTTAAGTGTTCACTTTCGATTCTTTTAATTCTGTGCATTTCATGTAAATAAACATTTTTCTTTTCTAACCACTCCTGTGGGAACAAGAAAAAGGCTATATGATACTCAAAGTTTTGCAAATGAATTAGAATTCTTATTTCTGAAATATATGATTAAAACTTTAAAAAAGCAAAACATAAAACTTATAGATTTTATATGTACTAGTATCATTCTTTTTCTGATAATATTCTAATATGTAAAGATGAGCAAGAATTAAGAAAATCATGTGTATATATGATTTATATATGTGTAATATAATGTGTAATGTAATGACTACATATATTAACATTTTTCTCTGAAATTCACATGGACAATTTTCCAAAATGTACGATATTCTGTACAATTTTCCAAAGTGTACTACATTCTGTACAACAAATAAGACAAAAAAAAAACAGACTTCTTTTTTGGAATTGTGAAAAAATTAGGACAGCTTTCTTCTATGCAAGTTTAACTCAAATACAGAAAGTCTCAGGAAAGAAAAAAAGATTAAAACCCTTTTTGTTCATAACTATATAAACTTAAAGGAGAAAAAGTATAGAACATAGGTGTACCTCAACTACATTTTGCTTTTGCTGTATTTTTATCAATTGCCATGGCATATTCTCTTTCTTTAAAAACAACTATGATCAGTTAAACAAAGCCTGGAAGGAGATAATTTAGTATATATATAAAAAAAGCTTTGGATTGCTCAGGTATTATAAAGGAAATAAATTAAACATTAAATCATCATCTCTGACAGGGTCATTTTACTTCCTGATAAACAAACCTTATGTAAGTGATTAATTCTTCTAATTTAAAAAAAAAATATTTTCCTTTTTACCTGATAAACAGCTGCCCTTATGTTATCTGCTCTGTCAGGTTCTGTGCTCTGTTTCTGTGAGGGCTTTTGGTCCAAGACTCTCAAAGTCCCTAAATAGTGAGAAGTGGGAACTGTCAACTGAGTTCTCCTTAGAGAACCAGGTTTCCTTAAGAACTCAGAGGTCACTAATCTGAAAAGATCCAAATCAATCAAGATAAACTATTACAATTGCACTTGGTAGAAGACAGATTCATTAGATTTTGCAAATACTATATTTGAAAACTACATTATAATTTAATAAATTATAATTACTTTGAAAATGATGTGTTCTTAGTATACAAAGACCCCTACTCAACATAATTTAAATTTTATTACTTTAAGTTATATAGCTTCAATGCAATTTTTCTTTTACGGTTTTGTAATTAAAACATTTTTAACAAACATGTACTCAAGTTACATGGGAAAAGACAATATTAATAAGTAGGTTTTAATAGTTTCTTATGTTATTTTGCTACATAAACTATCTTAAATATAAAGTTAGACTAGTAACCTCTATTTCAGGGTTGGTGGGAAAATCTGGCCCGCCATCTATTCTGGTATATAAAGTTTATTGCACCCTGGCTTTTCCATTTATTTGCATAATGCCAACAATGTCTTCCCTGCTACAATAGCAGAACTGGGTAGTTACAACAGAGACCATATGGCCTACAAGACCTGACATATGTACTAACTCGCAAATTTACAGAAAATGTTTGCTGACCCCTGTTCTATTTGACTAATGATAATTTAAAAGATTCAGAAGGTTTTGAATAGCATTTATGAATTCTTATCATTTTAATAAACCAACTTAGTCCATAGAACCTCTAAGTTTAAAGTACAATTTTTCATGTGTTGGACAAAGACATTTAATAGAGAAGGTGAATGCTGGACTTCAGCTTTATTACCACTGTATATCTACTGTCTCAGGAAAAATAGGAGAAAGAAACTATATCCCAGGAGCAATGTAGAACATAGAGGATGCTTAATCAATTCCTTTTTATAAATGAATATATTCAACTAGAGGGATTTAACCATGAAGAAACTACTTCATTCTTCTCATACGAAGAAAATTAAGTAACACCAAATGAAATTTACTGTACAGAAGTTAAACTAAAACTAGTTTTCTTGGAATGTAAACCCATAACTGAGGGAAAATGATAACTTTATTACCTGCCAGATGCATTGGATGCTCTATTATTTGTTGACTTTTTATTCTTCATATTTCTATCTTGAATTATTTTCTATTAAATAGAAAAAGCCAAAGATGGATTACTCATTGTATCTATCACAGACTTAGAGGCCAATCTTCCAGTAAATCGATGTTTTTTAAGCATCTACTATGTGTCAAGTATAGCTGGCACCAGGAACAAATAAGGATATTACATTTTAGGGAGGATGACTGGCAATAAACACGTAAACTAACGTCACTCATGAAGGAGATAAACTAGGGTCCAGTGACAGTGACAGAGTGGAGTTGACGAGCCACAATAATGAATTTGGTCAGGGAAGGCCTCCCTGAAGGCTCGACATCAGAGCTCAGACAAATGATGAATAACAAAGGGCCACATGATGTTCTATGGAGAGCTTGATAATTTTGAGAAACCAAAAAAGGTGAAAATGCTGAGGCACAGTGAATGGCAGGGAGAGCTGAGGAGTATAAGGTCCGGGAAGAATCGTATGAGATCTCCAGTGGTGAGGTGTCTGCTTTTTATTCCATGGGGAGAATCCAACAAAGAGACCTTAGAGGGGAATGATTAATCAGACTTCAGATCACTCAGTAGAGAGTAAGAATAAAGCCAAGGATTCATTCAAAAGAAATATGTTGTAATCTTACTTGTTATATATAAATCACCTGTTCTAATTTAGAATTACCTCTGTTAAACATTTCTAAGACCTGTCTATAAATTCCAGAATACCCTTCTTCCTTTTAAGGAATAACTTTTCTACTTTACACGGACAGATGGGTGCTAACACTAAAGTGAGAGCAGATGTAAACACATCCCTAACTTGGCATTAGAGCTTTTTCCTAAGGAAACTGGTTAAGGACAATATACCTGGAATGTGGCTTAATGAACCTTCTCCATAAAATTTAATAAAAACAATACTCTGTTTATAAAAGTCTCGTTCAACCACAAGTTTTCAGCTAACTGTTATCTTTCCTAGTAATAAGTATACATAGCCACCAATTAACTGCAGGAGAAACTGCATAAAGAAAATTTAGGAGAAATAGGGCTTCCCTGGTGGCACAGTGGTTGAGAGCCCGCCTTCCGATGCAGGGGACACGGGTTCATGCCCCGGTCCAGGAAGATCCAACGTGCCATGGAGCAGCTGGGCCCATGAACCATGGCTGCTGAGCCTGTGCATCCGGAGCCTGTGCTCCGCAATGGGAGAGGCCACAACAGTGAGAGGCCCACATACCGCAAAAAAAAAGAAAATTTAGGAGAAATAAAGACTAAAAATGCTCCCCATAAATTTTAACAGTATAGTACTCTGGTGCAATGTAGTATAGGAACAAGTAATCCTACATATCACAAATCTGGTTCTCAAGGTAATAATAATAATATTCCTGATAATGATCCTGTCCATCCATTTAAATAAGTATGGATGCTGATAAACATTTTTATTAAAATTTATAAAATATTTTTAAATGATATCCAAAGGAATATCCTTCACTAGCTCAAAACCTTAGAAATTATTCCAGACAGCTGCATTTTTATAACATGAAGACCTACAGAAACACACCCACTTCTGGGTATGTATTTCTGAAACATTTAAAAGTATATTATGATCATATAATATAATAGTTCTGTTAACTTTTAATGAAATGTTGGGTTTTATTATTTTCACTGCAAACCTTCCCTGAAGTTAAAATTCCATTGAATAAGAATCACTTGACAGTATAATACCATCATTTCCACAAATAATTCAGATGTACCTAACATGGAAGATAAAATATTTAAAAGTTCTATTTTGAATTTTAAGCTGTAGTACAGAAGGTACAATTTTATATAAATACCTTTGCAGACTCAGTGCATAAGATACTGTGAAGTTGAAATCGTGGTGGATCATCAACTGTTAAGTTATCATTCATAATCAGTTCAGCTTTCTCCTTTTCTTCTTCAAGGTCATCAGCAGTCACTTGACTTTCCTTAGGTTTCTCAAGTGTAGTAACAAAGTCTATCAAAACTGAGTTCTCTTCATTTTCAATTGATTTCAAGGAATTATGGTTTTCAGTGCATTCTTCATTCTGATCTATTTTGTGACAGAGTAACAGAACAAAATCTCCCTTCTGAATTAATAAGGTGGATAACAGATTCATTTGCTTTCTGCTAAATGAAAACTGTATAATCTCTTTCTTGCAAAATAATAAATGGAGAAAACTATCATATTCAACTTGAATAAACTTTTTTCCCAAGTGAGCTACAAAAGAAAAAATGGCTACTAAATCTACTAAAGCATTTGACACACCTTAGAAAATGGAATAACAACCCTAAACCATAGACATGCCACAAGCCCTTGTTGGTGTGTAAACCAAGTAAGTGAAATGGCAATATCTATTCTATTCAAAAGCCTGTGTTTCTTAGCTGGAGCAAGAGTCACAGATTTCTCAGATACTACAGTTACTAGCAATGCACTTATAATATTGTACAGGTGTAGAGAGAACCAAGAATCAATGCAGTTCTAGAAGAGACCACCACACAGAGAATAAAGCCATCCTTTAGAGTTTTACTCCCACTAAGATGCAGTGTTGCCTCTGATACCAAAAGGGCAGGAAAGGAAGGCCTAGTACTTACCCTCTCAGTGCTCAAGGGACAGGCTTAAGCTCTGGCATGAAGGATTCAGTTTTGCTTTTACAGAATTACTTCTATTATTCTGATTCTACCACACTTTAGAATGTTCAACAGAAAATCAGTGCTTTCTGCGTTGATCACCAACTTTCAGTTCTACTAGGATCCACCTACTGGCCAACCTGTATCTTTACTGTCAAAGTCTTAATTACGAGGCTTTCATTCCAGTCATTTCTGGGGAACTCATTTTATATCTAGGTAAGCTAGATATAATATCACTTTATAATTCCAGTTATACATTCATATTTGGAGACTACTCATGATTCAAAGTATCATTAATGGATTCTTTAGAGCTGCTAATCAAAGTACTCAGTGAAAAGAACAAGGACTTTGGAGCAAAAGATTCAAATTATGGCTCCATCACTGACCTTGGGTATGTTTCCCAATATCTTTGCACTTCAGTTTTTCTCATCCGTAATATGACAAAAATTATACTACATAGTAAGCACTTAATAAATGTAAGTTATACATCCCAGTCTTAAAAACAGCTATGCCTTTAGCTCTCATTATGTTATATGTCATAAGACTAAGGAAAGAAACAATGTTAACTACTCATACCTCACACTTACTATGTGCTAACGATGGTTCAGTTCTACATGCTTTACATGTATTAAAACTAATTTAATTCTCACAACCACCCTGCTCTTATTAAGCCCATTTTAAAGAGCAACATACAGGGCCAGAAAGGTTGGTTACTTTCTCAGGTAGTTGTACCTAGATTCAAATCCAGCTTAGTCTCACTCTAAAAGTTCACCTAACCATTATGCTGACTATTGCAGCAACACCTACATAATAATTGCTCACATTTAGTGAATACTCTACTTGTGCCAGGAATTGAGTTAGTGGCTAAAATGCATAGTATCACTTAATTGTCACAATAGCCTTATGAGATTGGTCTTATTATAACTTGGGGGATTGAGGCATTGAGAGATGAAGTTCTGCATCTACAATCATATGGTTAATAAATTGTATTTTGGGGATTAAAACTCAGGCAAACACAAACATATATTGTTCCTATAACTGTGTAAAGTATTACTTCTTTTACAAATAGCATTCTAAGCAATGCAGAGTTCATAAATAAAATAAGGTAGAATAATTTGATATAATCACCTGTAATGGAGGATTTTTCCCCAGATACTGGTGAAGAGGAATTTCCGAGACTTTCTTTAAGGGATGATGATGATAGACTTGTTAACCATGCATCCTATTTAAAGAAAATGTATTTACTAGTAAGTTTAGTTCTCAAGATTTGTGGAGGGCAATAGGATTATTAAAACTACTTCATAACTCTGAAATCTGCATTATTAGTTTTCTGCGAAACACCAAAAGTAGGTCAAAGGAGGTTATAATATGCTTTACTTTCAAGCCTTTATACCTTGATCATTAAAAGAGGTCACTAAGAGCTATTCCAGTTCTTTAACTCAAACCTCTATGTTTTCAAAACTCCTACTGCTCTAAAATCAAATCTCAGAAATATTTAAGGTAAATATTTGACATGTTTTTCTCTAAGTATATATTTTCCTAGAAAGTATAAAGGAAATAGTAGGTAAAAACCCTTAGTTTCAAACAAATATTACTTGTTGACCAAAAGAAATCAATTTATAAAACCAAATAGACAGTTACTTCCAAATATTTTAGGTAAAAAACTTCATAGATTTCATACACTTTAGTTTTCCTCAAAATTCCTATATATGAATTAAAATAATTATTATATATAAAATGAAGTAATTATATTTGTGTGTATAAATTAAACATCTCTTTATAGAATAATACTCTAGTCTAAAGGTGATGATATTATAATGTAAGAAGTTTGATTTTGTTGCATAGATAATAAATTTTAATTTTCCTTCCCATAATATTTACAAAGAAAATTATATGTCAAAAGCAATAGAGAGAAACCATCTGGGCAGATGGCAGAAGGGCTCAAACACTGGAGTCTACCCTGAGAAGGGAAGATTTACCCAAGGAGATTTACAAGTTAGTAGCCTTTTTCCTGAGGAAATTTCCCCAACTGTGCAGCTTAGTAGAAGGCTGCAGCATTACTAAACTGGCTTGAGGGGTCAGAAGATAGAGTTTAGGACTAGAAGATCAGGCAATAAATTTGGAGAAGAGCTGCAGAAGGCACGAACCCCAATATCTGCATATAAATCCACCTCAAACACTTGGATCATCTATGCATGGCATGGGAAAGACCTCAGAGGGTCCTGTAAAATCACAGTAGCTAGAAAGTGAAAACTCTAAGCAGAGACTTCAGTCAATGTCCACGGCAAGGGAGACAGAGCTGGGAATTTGTCTAGCCATAATATCTTTGTGCTAGAGCACATGTTCAGAGGAACATAACAGAATCCAGAATCTCTACAACATATCATTCATGATGTTCAGTAGTCAATCAAAAAGTTAATAAGTAAAAAAGAAATGGTGACACATACTCATGAAAACAAAAACAACAAAAGCAGTCTATAGTAACCAAGCCAGAGATGACCCAGATGTTGCAATTAGCAAATAAGAACTTTAAAGTAGGAATTATAAATATGTTCAAGCACTTAGGAGGAGATATATACATAGTGGCTGAATAGAAAGGGTATCTTATTATTAGATACAGAAAATACAAAAAATACCAATGGAAATTCTAGAGTTGAACACTACTGAAATTAAAAAAAAAAAATCACTGATAGACTTAACAGCAGATCAGGAATGGTAGAAAAAGGCAGTGACCTTGAAGACAGAACAATACAACTTATTCAATCTAAAAAAACAAAGGGAAAAAAGATTAAAGAAACATGAAAGAAATTCAGAGATCAGTGAGACATATCAAAAATTTCAATGTGCATGTAATTACAAACAAGAGGAAGGAAAATAAAACAGAAAAAAATTTTTAACTTCCCATCTGCATGGAAAATATCAGTTTACAAATCCTGAAATCTCAACAAAACCCAAGCAGGATAAATATAAAGAAAACCACACCTAAGTACCTCATAGTCAAATTTTTGTAATTCAAAGAAAAAAGACTAAACCTTGAAAATAATTCTGAAAGCTGCCAGAAAAAAACAAAACATTGTATAATGAGGATAGCAAAATAAATTTTTGCTGATTTCATAACAGAAATAATAGAGGCCAGGAACAATGGAAACCTATAAAGAGCTGGGGATAGGAGAAGGAAACTGTCAGCCAAGAAGTGTATATTCAACTAAGCCATCCTTCAAAAATGAAGATAAAGTGAATATGTTTTAGATAAGAAAAGACTGAGAGAATCGATCACTGGCAAACCAAGAAATGCAAAAATAAGTTCTTAAGATTGAAGGGAAATAACACTAGAAGGTAATCTGGATCTATAGGAAGAAATGAAGATCTCTAGAAATGGTATATATATCTAAGAAAACTATAAATGTTTATTCTTTTCTTCTTTTAGTTCTTTAAAAGTCTAAGACAGGGCTTCCATGGTGGTGCAGTGGTTGAGAGTCTGCCTGCCGATGCAGGGGACACAAGTTCATGCCCCTGTCTGGGAAGATCCCACATGCCATGGAGCAACTAAGCCCGTGAGCCACAACTGCTGAGTCCGAGAGCCACAACTACTGAAGCCTGTGCATGTAGAGCCCGTGCTCCACAACAAGAGAAGCCACCATGATGAGAAGCCCGCACACCACAACAAAGGGTAGTCCCCCGCTTGCCATAACTAGAGAAAGCCCGTGCAAGCAATGAAGACCCAACGCAGCCAAAAATAAAATAAATTTATTAAAAAAAAGTATATGGACTAAACACTCATAAATGGAATAATGGATTCATAAGTACATTGCAATTAAAAAACAGATTGTCAGACTTGATAAAAAAGTAATACCAAACTGCTATTACAAGAGTCATTTAAAGAAAAAGAAAAAAATTGTTTGAAAGGAAAATTATGGAAAAAGTTATACCATGCAAACACTGAAATGTTGAAATGTCAGGCAAAACAAACTGCAAGATATGAAGCATTACCAGAGATACAAAAATTTCATAAAGCTAAATAGGGTCAAGAACTAATAATGATGAATGTGTATGTGTCTAATTACAGAGTCATGGAATGCTGACAGAACAAAAAGGAAGTACAGAGAAATTCACAAACATAATTGGAGATTTTAACACACTCTATTTAGTAAATGACAAAAATTCAGTAAGAAAGGAGAAGATCTGAATGACACTACCAACCATCTTGACCAAACTGAAATTACAGAACATTATATCTAACACCTGCAGAACACACATTCGTTGTTAATACAAATGAAACCTTTCACAAGACACATTTAGTCTGGGCCATAAAAAAAAACTCAACAATTTAAAAAAATGTGAATTCATATAAGATATATTCTTTGATCATAATAAAATTAAATTATAGATTTATGCAAGAGTATATCTAGAGAAGATCTAACATGTGGAAATAAAATCATTCACCATAAAATAACCATTTGGCCAAAAAAGAGATCACAAGAAAAATTAGAAAATGTATTTAAAGGAATGATAACGAAAATAAATGGCATCAAAAAAATTGAGCGCTGCTAATCAGTGCATTAGAGGAAAATTTACAGTTTTCAAAGGTTTTGATAGAAAGGATGAAAAGCTTAAAATGAATGGACACCTTTTCTAACTTAAAGGTAAGCAAATTAAACCCAAAGAAAATAAAAGAAAGAAATAATAAAGAGTGAAAATCAATGAAATTGGAAACAAACAACAGAGAAAGCTAACAAAGCCAACACTGGTTCTTAGGAAAGTTTTAACAGAACTGAGCAATGCCTATCAAAATTTAACAAGAAAGACAGAAAACACAAACTACATATTAGAAATGAAAGATGGAATGTCATGATAATTTTACTGTCATCAAAAGGATAAGGGAATATCACAAACAACTTTATAAATTCAACATCTCAGATAAAGTGGATAAATTTCTAAATAGACATAAATTACCAAACTGATGAGAAAATCTGGATACCAAATATTTGCCCCCCCCCCCAAAAAAAATCAAACTTAGTGTCAAAGACCTCTCCACAAAGAAAATTCTAGGCCCAGATAATTTCGCTGGTGAATTCTCTCAATTAAGGGGAAAATGATACTAAACTTCTGGTTTCATACCAAACAAACTTTTAGAAAATAAAGGAGGAAGAGACACTCCCCAGTTCATATGATACTCACACCTGATAACAACATAAGGAAAAAATTATAGACAACCTCCATAAATATTGATGTAGAAGTCTTAACAAAATAGTAAAAAATCAAATCCCACACAAAAATGGTCTACTATGATGGACTAGATTTTATCCCAGGAATAATGAGTTAATTTAACATATAAACATAGATATATATCATCATACACACACACACACACACACACACACATACACACACGCACACATAAATGAAAGGTGGGAAGTGAGGTTGTAGCGAGAAAGAAAATGTCACCCTTTCAATACCCAGCTGTGACATTTGCAGGAAGGTAAGGCAATAGGGAGAGAAATGCAGTGTCATGTGAAAGCTTATACAAAGTTAAAGAGGCTTCAGCACAGTTGAATGTGGATGAAAACAGACTCTTCCAGAGCCAAAGATTATAGACATAGGAGAGAGAAGGGTTGGACAAAAAATAAATGGGAAATCCCTGAAAATGTGGGCTTAAAGAAGATTCAGAGCATGGTCAGGAAAATTTTATAATGAGGAATAAGGAATATTTAGACTATTAAAAACAGAAGTATCTAATATACCCAACAAAGATAATAGCTCTACAATAGGGGCTATGTTATAGTCATTAAGGTGAACATAGTCTCAAGATCACCCAGCAACATGGAAACACGTCATGTCCTAATGTTAAAAGACTAAACCAAAAAGCATGATACAAAACATTGTGAATGTTAAGATGACAAATATTATAAAAACAAGTATATAAAAACAGCCCAAAAGTGGAGTAAGAATAATTAATATAGTTGTCATTAGGTGATGGGATTATGGGTAGATTTTTTTTTCAATTAAATTTTCTGTCATAATATAATGTTACTTTAAAAAGTTTAGGAATACTTTTTTCTTTAATCAAGGGATATAGAATACATCACAAAGAGCAATTAAAGTTAGGTATCACTACCAGTTTGAATAGTGTTCCCTCAAAATTCATGTCTATCCCAAATCTCCAAACGTGATCTTATTTGAAAATAAGGTGTTTGCAGATGGAATTAGTTAAGATGAGAACCTACTGGAGTAGGGCAGACCCTAAATCAAATGACTGGTGTCTTGTTTTAGAGAAAAGTGAGGGAAGACACAGAGACCCAGGGAAGAAGACAATGGGTTGATGGAGGCAAGGACTGGAGTGATGCAGCTACAAGCCAAGGACCACCAAAGATTTCTGACAACCACCAGAAGCTGGAAGAAGCAAAGAAGGATTCTTCCCTAGAGCCTTCAGAGGGAACATAGCCCTGTTCACACCCTGATATTGGATTTCTGACCTCCAGAACTGAGAGAACTTCTGTTGTTTTAAGTCATCTAGTTTGTGGCAATTTGTTACAGCAGCTACAGTGAACTAACATAATATCCACTTGGCCAGATGATTTTATTAAACCTAAAATAATTGTTTGGTTTTGATAACACCCTCTCTTCACCTGATTTTCAGAACAAATTAGGACATAGCACATTGAAGTCAGGAAGATTTATATCAAATTGCCAGCTTTTCTGGTAAGGCTAACCTACAGGATAAGAGTGGAATCAGAGCCTACTGTGCTCATACTTCTCACCTGAATTGGAGAGATTCTTCTGTTTAGTTGTGATACAAAGGACTTCCTCTGTCTGCCTTTGTACCACCTCCCAGGGAGCAGATCTTTTCTCACATCAATAACACAGAGGAGTCAGGAGAAGAAGAAAGAAGCTTAGCCAGTACTGTTTAGTTCCTTTTCTCTGATCTGCTCAAGCAGATTGTGGAGGAGGAATGTTCTTCTCATACTTATCCCTTCTGAAATGTGAGGTGGAACTTCTCTAACCACAGTGAAATGTAAAGACAGGTGGCCAAGTGTTCTTCCCTAATAACAATACACAGTAAACTCCTGATGAAGTCCTGAAGGATCATATCTACATCCCTTCTGGAATATCCCAAAAAATATAGGACTGTGCCGTGAACATTCAGTATACATTTGTTGAGTGATTAAAACCAAATGATTAAAATGACACTGGCCATAAATTATACAATTCAAAGATATGTAAATAAAAACTCTTGCAATTAAAGTGTTGCATAGATTCAAAAAGGCAACAGTTTTTTTCACATTTTACTTTCTCTGAAATTGGATGCATCGTATATTACAGTTTAGCAGTTTTTTTCTTTCTTAGCAGTACATAAAATAATGTTGTATTTTTGCTATATCTTACAATTGAGTTTTAGATCCAATAAAATATATTTTTAAAAACTTAAAATTATTTCCTTATCAATTGCTGAAGAAATCATGTAAAACACACACACACATGCACGCTCACACACAAATATTCTTTCTCTCATAATCAGATGCAAAAACCTGAATTAGAAACACAGTTTAGCAGTAGTGCTAACCTCAGGGTCAAGGTTTTCAGAGAATGCATTTTTCTCAGCTTCTGGTTGTCTGCCATTCAGCCTTGGGAGGAATGAAGGTACAGAATATGCCTCTAATTCTTCATGGAGGGCAGTGTCTTTGTCTTCTCCTAGCCTGTCTTTCTCCTCCCTGTGGCTGTGCTTTTTCAACATGCTCCTTGGCCAAGGTGAAGGCTTAAAGTGGTTCTCTGCTTCAAGGCTGCTGTTATTTTCTGCAGAAAAATACAATGTTTTAATACATTAAATACAATTTAATACACTAAAAAATACATTTTTTAAATGACCATGGCTTCTCCTACACTGCAGGTGCCACCACACTTCCCTCCGGTGCCCAAGCACCTTGGCTTTCTATCCTGGAGAGTCTAGAAGAAGCCCACACCCTTCTCTACACAGAACTCCAGAAAGTACAAGTAGGCGATAGTTCATAATCAAATAATTTTTTTTAATGGCTGCCATCCTGGAAGTAACTAGTATACTTCACTTTTGTGAGTAAACTCATCAACTCTCATAGTATTAAAAGAATTTTTTTTTAACAAACAAAACCAAACTGCCTCAGTTTCAGCCTTTATAAAATGAGGCAGTTCATCCATCAAAACCTTTATTGAGTATCTGCTGCCAGGCCCCATACACATCACTCACATTAATGGACCTCAGAATCAAGACACTAGCAATGGCCCTGTCCAAGGATTTTAGAGGTTGGGAAAGGAGACGATACTAAACAAATAAAATTATAAGACAAAGGTAAGTGCTGTTACAAGTATAAAGATGATATCAGTACAGGGAGTAGAAGAGCCAAATGTCCCTGGAAGAGGAACAGACAACTGGATAACTTGTGAGCTGCTGTTCTCTGAGTCCATAAAACCTCTCCAGCAGTTATTAAAATTTCTCAGTTACTATTTCATTACTTCTAAGTTTAAAACAACAATCTAATGTTGGTATACTTCCAGCCCTCAAAACATGATAAGAAACATTTTCCATGAACTTTTCCCTAAATTTTACCTGTTATACATATCCATCTCTCCATTGTTCTACCAATGTATTCTTCTGATGAAACTTCAAAACTGAACTAATTAATACCTTTATCCTTTTTACCTATAAGTCGAGTTATAAATCCTGCTAGAAGATTCTACAACCATAGGTAATTGGAACCACTATAAATGTTTCACTACCAATTTTAGGTATGTCCTAAACTCTAGTCAAATGTCCAGTCCAAAATCCAAGAGTCATCTTAGATTCCTCCCTCAAAATCCAAAGAATCACAATACCCTATCCATTCTACTTGCTAAATTTATCTCTCATTTATCCCACTTTCTACATCCCCACTCTCAGTTCCTCATCCACTCTTGCCCAGATTACTGCCTCAGTGATATTTATAAAACACAAATCAGATGACATCACTCCTCTCCACAAAATTTTTCAATGGCTCCCCATCAGCCAGTCTTACAGAATAAAAAGCTCATTGCCTCTGAACAATATAAAATGTTTCATGGTTTTGTCCCTGGCTACCTGTGCTGCCTCATCACTGACACACCCACTTAGTAATCTGTCCTGAAATGCTGGGCTCACTGTCCTTCTGCAGCTGTGCCACATCCCTACTGCCACCAGAGCTTGCCACCCAAGCTCTCCCTCTGCCTAGGATGTCCACTTCCTGTTTCTCCTCCTGACAAATGCTTGCCTGTCTTTGGAACCTCAGTTTAAGCAGAATATTGTATAATGCCTGGTTTTGAGTCATTTTTTTTATTGTGGTAGTAACACTTAATAGGAGATCCACCCTCTTAACAAATTTTCAAGTGCACATTACAGTATTATTAACTAAAGGCACAATGCCATAAGGCAGAGCTCTAGAACTTATTCATCTTGCATAACTGAAACCTTACATCTGTTGACTAGCAACTCCCATTTCTCTCTCCCTCCAGCCCCTCATAACCACCATTCTACCCACTTTCTGTATGGGGTTGCCTATTTCAGATATTTTATATTTGAATCTTGTTCTGACACTTATTAGCATTGTAAACGTACACGAATCAGATAACCGTCACACACCCCAGTTTTCCTATAGGTAGAATTAGCTAAGATTTGCTAAAGTTCTCATGGGACTTGAGTAAGATAATACATACAAAGCACACAACACAGTGCCTGACACATGGGAAGTGCTCAATGAATATCAATGATTGTATAGACGTTTCCTGTTCTGGTTTGTCCACCACTCCTGTTTTCTTTCTAGGTATCCTCTCCTCCTTTCTATCCATGTGATTCTGTGGGTAAATAAATATCTCCTCCATACCTCAGTGAGAATGATGGGCATGTGATGTAGCCCTCTCTTTCCTGTGCAGCTTATCACAGAAACTTCATTTCCCCTGACCACAGCAGGCAGTCAGGAGGTCAGGATTTTTCTACTTGGAGTTGGTGGGTATGCCTTTAAGGCCATGGAGCTGGAAGGATGTGATTTAGAGACCACTAGTGGCATTCTCTGCTGCCAAGTGAAGGGCTGTCTGAGACAAAGAAACCAAATGACAGAAAAATGGACAAAGGGATGGAATTAATGCGGCAGTGACAGTGCAGGAGGAGAGAATGAGAGGGTCAGGGAGGGAGGACAAAAGTAGCAAGAGAGAATCCTGATGATATAGAAATACCGATTCTCTACACTTAATCACACCTTCTGACATCCATGCTCAACACAGGGATAAACTCTTTCCACTGATGTTTGAATTGGGTCATTTGCATCTGAGAGTCCTGACTACAGGTATTATTATTTGTCAGTTATAGCTATTGACACCAGCTCCTCTAGGAAGCCTTCCCTGATGCCCTCAGGTAAATTTAGATGCCCACTTTCCTGTGTTCTTACTATACCTTTTATAAACCTTCCCACCAAATTGTAAAGTCTTTGCTATGGTCTGAATGTTTGTGTCTCCACCCAATTCTTATGTTGAAATCTTAACCCCAAAAGTGACGTATTAGGGGCTTCCCTGGTGGCACAGTGGTTGACAGTCCGCCTGCCAATGCAGGGG